GACGTGGCATTTTTTTTATTAATTTCTGAAGCTGACGTGGCTCGCCGGAGATTGGCACTTAAGTGATCGTTTTTCAAAAATTTTAGCACTTAAGTGATCCAAAAAAAACTTATGACACTTAAGTGATCGTTTTTCCTCCGACTTGGCACCAAAGTGATCCGAAAAAAAGTTATGGCACCAAAGTGATCTCCGTACACAAGTTATGGCACTTATAGTGTCCTTTTGCCGTAATTAAAATAATGTGGCCCACGCGTGCACCCAACAAACATAATTAACTCAACCAAGTGCACAATCACACGTTTAATTTCACCACCACAGTCTAATTATTTTCAAACGCACGTAAAACACAGAAATCATTATTTTTCTCCCACCAAACGACGCCAAATCGATTCCGGTCCTTCACGGGACTTTTTCACCATAAATTCTCGATTCTAAAAATCCAACTTGCGTCCCGATCGGCCCATAGCGGCCCCATGAACAGTAGACCACAGCCACTGTTATTCTCAAATTTCCAATAAATATTGCCCGAATTAAATCCTAAGGCCCGCCACAAAATTTCCACTCCCAATTCATGTAATTCCGCACCTAATTTTTACCAGATTTCGCCCAAAAATCGCCCGCCGATACCCGAAGTCCTAAGTTGGGTTTAGAGCGCAACTTACCCGCGTTCTAGACTATCGCGGCTAGAACGGAAAGCGGCGGCACTTAATCGGGAACGGCGGCGATGAAGAATGGCTCCCGGCGGCGGCGATCGGCTTGGGGCGGACGGCGGCTGCTCACGGTGGGGGCGGCTGGGTCCACGGCCGAGGGGTCCACGGCCGAGAGAGGAGAGAGAGAAACCGAGAGGGAGAGGGACGGCGGCTTGGGGGCGGTGACGATGGCGAGGATGGCACGGCGGTCCGACGGGCGCACGGACGATGGGGATGACGCGGTGGCGGCGGCTAAGGGAGAAAGGGAGAGATCGGTGGAGGGGGAGGGGCTCACGGCAAGGGGGGGCTTTCACGGGGGAGAGAGAGAGAAAAGGGTCAAAGAATAAATATCCCAATTTTGACCACTTTTTGGTAAATTACCAAAATGTCCCTCTCTCACATTTTTTATCCGACGGTCCAGATTCGATCTAATCTTGAAACCGACGGCCCAGATCGAATCTTGTCAAAAATATCCAAGGGCAATCTTGTAATTTCTCAAAAAGTCCAAGGGCAAAATTGTCTTTTCCAACTTTTAGGGCAAAATTACCAAAATGCCCTTTGCCCATAAAACATGCCCTTTGATAATCCTTAGGGGTAAAATGGTCAGTTTCTTCGTTTCTCACCGAAATCGAACTTTTCTGAAAAATCCGAAGAAATCCAGAGATGTATGTTCCAATTGCAACGTTGTCCAAAGGTCCTGCCGTGACTTTCCGAATTTTCTGATGCTCGGTTTGGTCTCTAATAAAAATTTAAATTATATATACATAACGTAACTAGAGCGTTTCTCAGACTAACGGGTGGCTTTCGGGAAATTCGTCTATACGACCCGTGACTGATACTAAATCGAGTCACGTACAATTTATTCAGACCGTAATGACTTCGGTTGTCATTAAAATCGCGAGGATCAATTGCTAGATCCGAGGGGCACGATCGTTTGGTATAGGTTCAGGATCCTTCGTCAAGTCATTTCGCGGTCCAGCGGAATCACCCGCGATCCACTACTATGACAGTGGCGAGCTGACCGCTAACTATCCTTGGATCGGCCAACAGTGGCTCAAAATATCACCTCAACGATTTTATGGTCGAAAGTCCATTCACGATTGAATTATCTTTAGTCGTTCGAATTTTAAATCCCTAATTAGCCTTTCCCTACTGGTTAGTATTCCAGGAATGATCAGTTCCGGATGAGAACTAGCTACGAGCACATTCGTAAAATAATTCATTTCATAAATCCCGAATGAGCGAAATGTCGGGATGTCACACCCTTAATAGTCAAGTCCGCATTTCTGTTTACTTCGAACTTGATTAACCAAAACAAGAAATCTGGAGCTTGACAGAGAAAATGGACGAAAGTTTGTGAACTTGTGGTGTCATTATCTCCTTCATAAAGTCAAAGATCGACCATATCGATGACAGTAGCATCGGGTCAAAGCCGGCATCGATTGAGCTGTCCGAGTGGTTGAGTTTCCCTGAGATGGTCTTCCAATCCAGGTTTAAAAACACTATTGAAAGTCACTCCTCCACATGGTTGGGTCATGGGACTTTGCCTCTAACCATAAGTCATCCCTAGTGTTGCTGTGAAGCCAACGTTGAGCACATCGTGTCGCTCAGCCTCGACGAGACCACGTTGACAACTTGGACCTCACGGGCCACATTGATCTTTGCTTGCAACCTCCTTGTAAGACGCAAATAAGCAACTAAGAGGGGGTGAATTTGTTTTTAAAGAAAACACAAACTAATTCTGTTGAACCGAAACCCAAATAACAATTCTGCTTTTATGTGTAAAGTAAACTAAGAATATAGTCAACGGAAATTAAAGAGTTTAGATAAAGAAAAATTGCAATAAAGATTCATCAGTACATCCGAGGTATCTCAGATGTGGGTTAGTGCTAACGCTTCTGTCTTAGCCATCATTTCCCAGGTAATTAGTGTTGTGAGCAGGTACATGGCACATCTAGGTAAAGCTCATTGACAAGCCAGAGAAAAAGAGCTCTTGGATGCAAGTGGGTCTTTAAAATAAAGGAGCGAATTTCAGGGGTTGAAGATGAAAGTTTCAATGCACGTTTGTTAGTGAAGGGTTTTAATTAGAAGGAGGGGATCAACTTCAATGAAGTGTTCTCTCTAGTCGTGAAACATAATTCCATTGGTGTGTTGCTCACGTTTGTGGCCCTTTATGATCTAGAACTTGAGCAACTTGATGTCAAGACTGCTTTTCTGCATGGCAAGCTTGAGGAGACAATTTATATGTCTCAACTCGAGGGATTTGTAGTTAAGGGTAAGGAAGATCACGTTTGTAGGTTGAAACGCTTTTTGTATGGTCTCAAGCACTCTCCACGGCAATGGTACAAGAGGTTTGATAAGCTTAATATTGAGTCAAGGCCACTCACGAAGTGCGCATGACAGTTGTGTGTACTATAAGAGATTACATGATGGTTCTTTTGTTTATTTGTTGTCGTATGTGGATGACATGCTTAGCACAACGAGGAATATGTTAGAGACACAATCATTGAAGGGACAACTTAGCAGGGAGTTTGAGATGAAGGATCTTTGAGCTACCAAGAAGATTCTAGATATGGAAATTCGCATAGATGGATAGGTTGGGAAGTTATACCTTTTGCAAAAGAGGTATATTGAGAAAGTGCTTGAGCATTTTAGTCTTTTGGCTTCTTTGTCACCTAAAACCAAATAAGAGAAAGATAAGATGTCTCAAGTTCCATATTCTAGTACTGTGGGTAGTCTTATGTATGCTATGGTTTGCATCATCCAGACATTTCGCAAGTAGTTAGTGTTGTGAGTAGGTATATGGCACATCCCAGTAAAGCTCACTAGCAAGCCGTGAAATGGATTATTCGATACATCTGGGGCATCTAAGATGCGGGTTTGGACTTTGACAGAAGTTGTGATATAGGAGATTCGGTTGTTGGCTTTGTTGATCCTGACTATGTAGGCGATCTCAACAAAAGGAAATCTTTGATAGGTTATGTTTTTACGCTTGGTGGTTCCGTGGTTAGTTGAAGAGCAATCTTGCAGGACATGGTTGCTTTGTCCACTGCCGAAGCAGAGCACATGGCAGCGACGGAACCGGCAAAGGAAGCTCTTTGGTTGAAGCGTTTGGTTATAGAACTTGGAGTAAAGTAGGAAGGAGCCTCCGTTATATTTTGTAATAACCACAGTGCGATCCAGTTGACCAAGAACGCAATATATCATGAGAAAACGAAACATATCGACATCCAATATCACTTTGTGCATGATGAGGTTGCTAAGGGTACGATTACGGTGAAGAAAGTACCTACGGTGAATAATCCGGCAGATATGTTGACCAATCCAATTCCTTTGACCAAGCACAAGCATTGGTTGGACTTGATTGGTGTTTTCACCATTTGAGTTGCTTAGGTGGAGTGGGTGGCGTTTCATCCCTTGTTTCCTATACTGGATACGCTCACGTAGGCTTAGGGGTGTGCGTCGTTGATTTCGCTATTTTGGGGGGTGACCTTGTGTGGTCACTCTTAAGGGTGAGGGCGAAAGGTCTTGTGGCATTTGGCAAAATACTGTTCAGGAAATTTGAAGTCAAGCTGGAGATTTGTTGAGTTTTGACTTTCAAATTGGTGACAAAAGGCATTTTGGACCACGCACATTTATTTTAGGGCTTTTTGAAGGGAGACTGTAAAATGAATGTATTGCACAACACATCTCTAACCCTAATTTTCACATTTTCTCCCTTCTTTATTCTTCCTATCTTCTCGTTAGATCTTTAGATCCTATGCCTCACCAAGTAGTTTTTTGACCTTTTGGATTGGACTCTTGTAATTGTTGTTGAAGATAGTGAAACCCCTTCTCCGTCCCCATAGTTTTTTCAGTTTAGGGTTTTCACGTATATCTTGTGTCTCGTGTGGTTTTGATTTTGCTTTCATCCTTTATTATTATTTTGCTTAAATTTTGTGCATCTTTCGGTGCTGTTCAGCTACAATAAACATATTTTTCTACAAAACTCTAACTCCAAGATAATTTCCATTCAAAAATTTGTTTTTTCTCTTTTACATAGCACGGGGCATAAGTCTACTTTCCAATTAAAAAGAAAAAAGAAGAAGTCAGGTCCTTTCCCGCTACTTAACGGAGACGATGAGCGGGCACAATCGGACTTTTTTTTTATCCTTCAGACTCGGTGCCTGTCTTGTTTTTGTTTTTCTATTTCTTCGGTTACACTTCCCTTGAACCTTCTCCTGGAAGCCACTTATCCTTGTGTCCTACAGAGTTCTGGTTCCTTTGTTCGCTTCACCTCTATTCCGAGGATTTAAGGATATCGTGATATCCATGGACTGGGAAAGTAAGCATTGGGAGTCTCTGTTAGCTGTGGCCAACAGGAAATATAAACTCAACGAGGTCTCTCCAGATGACCAACTCTCTCAATCTGATGGAGGAATTGGGAATACTGATGGGAACAACCGTGACAATATCAGCAAAGATGAAATTCGAGGTCCTGATAATTCATCACCTCGGGTTACAAGTCTGCGCGAGAAAATAAAGAATGATCTGTCCCACTTCAAGTCAACCTTGGCGTGGTGGCGCCAGAAAGCCGACGACCTAGAAAGTGAAGTGAGGAGCATGATGATGTTGGCTCCCCACGACACTCTTGAAGACAAGCTGCGGGACGTGGAACTGGAAATCTCGAGTTTGAAGTTGAATCTGGCTGCTCCTCACAATCTTTCAAAGGCCAAATCGAGCACTCCTGGCCTATCCAAGGTTGGGGTAGATGCAAAGAGCAACCAGATGTTGGAAAAACTGCAAGACGGATTTGAAAAGATGTCCGCGAGTCCAACTATCCAGGGCGTGCAGCAACTTTACAACAGATTGGATGAAGAGTACAAAAATTGTTTGTTGTGTCTTACAGCTTTCCCGGAGAACGCAATCATAAAGAAAAGGGTCCTGATCAATTGGTGGGTTGGGGAGGGGCTCCTAGTTGTCACAGATCCGAAGGGATCCATGGCCGTTGAGAAAGCTGCGGAAAAAATCTTCAAAGAGCTTGGCGAGAAGGGCTTCATCATGCTAGTTCATAAGAAGGGAAAGCGGAGAAGCCCTGTTCCCGACAGTTGCCAGCTCCACCCGTTTATGCGGCGGGTCCTGATAACTTTAGCAAAAAAGGCTAAATTCTTCGACTTAGATCTCCAGGGTAATGCAACGCCTGACTATTCTCAGTGCACCAGGGCATGCTTGGTAGAAGGTGGACAGCTCTCGAGGCCATCAACAGTGAGCGAGGGACGGAAATTAAAGACATTGTTCAACATGAATGAGCAGTTTCTTGATTTAAAATTGGATTTTTTTATTAGTTGCAAAGTTCTTCAGTTGGGACGGTGGATGGTGTCCGCAGATCATAACATCGATGTGGATGACGCGCCATCCCTGTTAAGAGGAATGGGCACAATGAAGAGGCTGAGATACTTGAGCCTTCAAGGTGTGACAAAGATTGGAAAACTTCCTGCTTCTATTTGCGATCTATATAATCTGACAATACTTGATCTCGGAGCATGCCAAAGTTTGGAAACACTTCCCAGGGAAATTGGTTCTTTGAAGAAACTCACATACTTGGACTTCTCCGAGTGCTACATGATCAGCCGCATGCCCAAGAGTCTCAAAAACCTGCAGCAGCTTCAAGTTCTCAAGGGGTTTGTGCTTTACCAAGACGGAAAGAAAAAGGACAAATCAGAAAATCGTGAAGAAGCTTGCACGCTCTCTGATTTGGCAAGTATGAAGAAATTGTGGAAATTGAGTTTGCGACTGGATAAAGCAGATGATTTAGAAGATGAACATATAAAAGATCTATCGCAGCTGCCCGAATTGACGTCATTGATGATTACATGGATCCAAGCTACTAAGCAACCCAGCTCATCTGACAGGGGAGCTGGCAGAAAGTCGAAGAGACGCAAGGAATCCTCTAAGGAGCCCAAAAAGCCCGAGAACAGTTTGAGCGGAGGCGAGCCTTTTCCTGGTAAACTGACGAAGCTAGATTTGCGTGGCTATCCTAGACCATCCATGCCAAAGTGGCTAACTCATTCAGAGGTAAAAGTACTCGAGAAACTCTACATCAGAGGAGGTAACCTTGCGAATCTCAACCGGGATTCTCACTCTGATAGTCTGTGGTCGGTCAAGATCTTGCGGCTCAAGTTCCTCGCTAACTGCGAGATCGAGTGGTTGGACCTGCGACATCATTTCCCATCTCTGGTCTACTTGGAAAAGTTTCATTGTCCAAAGCTCAAGCTTTTCCCATGCGATGGCTATGGCATCTGGATGAATCCCAATGCTAAGGAAGAAGGATGAGCAAACTCTCCATGCAATTTTATGTTGAATGTCTGTATGATTGTTCTGTTTCTGCATTCATGCGGTTTAATTTTGCTTCTTGTGACCTTCGGCATAAGCATTTGCTCGAGTTCCTGCTTTTCTACTAAGATTTGATTTGATTGCATTTCCCCAATCAAACTGCTATCATTATCCTCTGCTGTTAGTATCTCTTGTTGGAAACAATCCTTGCGAGAGAACTTTCACGTCGCACAATATCGCATTCATCTGAAGTCCTGGGTTCAAAACCAAGCAAAGCGCAAAAAAAAAAAAAAAAAAAAAGGAAGAAAGATTTACCATAACCACATGGGCTTTGAGTTTTATTGCAGAGTAACAAAGAGCAAGTTAGAAATTTTGAAGTCCACAGGGTCGCGGATCAACATGACTAACATGCACATCTAAACGAACTCGAGTATGGCTTAAAATTCAACTTTACCCCTCTATTTTCGTGGATGCGTTTATTTATCAAGTAGCAAAGTACACGAGTGTTGCACGAGTTTAAAACTATATGTTTTATATTATACTAAACATCAATATCAATGCGAATTTTCGTGAGAGAATAATATGTAAATAATTATAAGAAAAAAAATTCAGATCAATAAAAAGCTCCGCTAGAGGTTATGTGGAGTTTTATATAAAGTGAATCCAAACCCATTATGTAGGTTCATCCTACGATTAAAAAACAATATCGACCCAAAATTGCAATATTTATAAATTGATAATATAGGTAGATGCAATATTTCGAGCATGTAAAATAATATGAACCGATAAGAAACGTAATAGCATAAAGTAAGAACGTAAATTTCCCTCTTTTGATAGCTTTCCTCCATATGTCATAATCTTCTCATTTGCATCATCGACTTGGTGTAGAAAAGGCAAGCAAGTCATTTTTGTCGGATCTTCTTAATAGTAAAATGGTTTCTTCGCTTTTCTCCTTTTTATCTACAGAGAGTTTGAGGTCACTTTTTCGAGATGAACTTCCAATTCCAAACATTTCATCTTAATTTTTTATGGAAATTCTCCTTTTTCATTTTGGTAACCATTTGATATCTATCTTTCTGTTTTGGCAAGACTTGATGGATGTCTGATCATCCCTGACAATATATCAAAAGAGAATTATTAGATATCTTGAAAAAATATGCAATTTAAATTTATATTCTAAAGAAATTTTTTAAATATTTCTTTCCCCAATACTGCATATTTAGAATTCAGACGATTTATTTTCAGGATAAGAATATTCACATATTTCTTCATTTTCTAGTGAAAACTTCGTTGCCAAGAGTTGGTTGTTGATATCTTCTGCATTTATTGATGCTTCTAAAATTAATTCTCCCAATTTTGTAAATTTTGAAATTGGTTTATTGTGAATATTTGTTAATAATTTTTCACTTAACGTTACAATATACTATGTTATACAGACACTCATGTCACAATAATCAAATATTGGCGGCCCACGCTTTAACATCTCTCTGAGAAAAAAAAATAGAAATTAGATTAAAAGGAGCATGATATATTGTTTAGAAATAACAATAAAGTTTCAATAAGATATATTTTAAAATGTGAATGAAAATATACTTAGAACTTATTTTGCTGCAGTGTAAATATGCTCTAGATTAGTGATATATGTTAAACACAAAACAATTGAAAATGTAAAAAATCACAAGAATGCCAATAGTTTATAATGGTTTTAGTGTGATAACCAGTTCTATCAAATGTATTGAAAGTTGATCGGTATTGTCTTGACCGATTTGAAAGTTCATTGAAATTTCGTTATTTATATTCAATGAGTCCAAACACATACCCTTTATCTGATATTTCTCAGAGAAGTAAAACCCGTGGTTAAAACTAACAACATGAAATTTTTGTTATAATTATCAAACGTAGCTAGGTTAACTAAATGACTACATATTTTATTTATAAATTTTCTGAAATCATAGGTAACTTCTTTGTTTATTTTATTTTATTTGTATCACTTCGTACCATTCATCTATTCGTAAAAGAGGTTAACTAAAGTGTACTTTATTGTTACAATCCCTTCAAGACTTACTGGAATCCATACAAAACTGACACTCCTTCAAAAGCTCGTTTAAAAACTTATTGTAGTCCTTACTGCATAATTGATTGTCACCAATCATAAAGTGATAGGAATTATTTTTGATGATTCATTTAAAGTAACGGTCCCTTAATTTTGTTTTATCTTCGTACTGACATGTAATTTCTAGACATATAGTTAAAACTTTCCGGTTCGAGTTATCAATAATTATGCATTAATCATAAAGATCATCACCTATTATGCATTAAGTCATACTTATTTTTGAAATATAGGAAATTCTGTGATATATCATAAATGTAAAATTTTCCCTATATAATCATTATGTAATTAGAGTTTTAATACTTGCTAAAATTTATGTCTATTGATTTTTAATATTCACAAATTTCTAAAAATGACATGTGATTTTTCTAATAATCCTCTGATATCATTTATTTGTCAGACATGGGCTATCACGTTATTCAACTATTTTGAAGATATTTTGTTGCAAAATGATAATAGTTCAATCTGATTATATATATAATCCTAGGGTGTTATCGCTAAGTATGTTTTAGGTCTTATTTATTCATATAATTTGCACTACCATGTACTATATCCCTTTTGTCACGCCCCGAACCCTAACGGGCTCACAACACCCCTACGGCGGTCGTATCGAACGCGACGTCCCAGGATGCGTCGCCGACCCAAACGAAACACGCGAAGACAAACGCATGCGGAAGCGGAAATCAAACAATCCAGACAATAAACAATGACAAAGGGTAGTACTTGTACTAATCAATAAAGGCATAACATAATCATGATAGTTACTTACAATATTCATTTACACCAAAACAACCCAGGCTACTAACGAATAAACCACGCTCAACAAAAGGGGACGGTGGTTGGATAGCCTAACTTCACTATTAAAAAGGGGCATCCAAAAAGGGCTGAAGCATTAATGTCCAAAATCACTCCCGGTCTCCGAACCGCGCGTGACGACTATTCGTCACTCCAAGCCTGAAAATGTTTAACAACGGGGGATGAGATAAATCTCAATAAGCAGATCCCTAAACCCCACATAGGCCAATGCGTACCCAGACAAGTCTCCCCATACAATCTAACATTCGACGTACTAGAATTCACACAAGCATATTTACCTCGCCTCAATTCACACGTCAACCCTGCATATTAGTCAAACACTATAATGCAATAATAGCCCAAGCACATCACAATCACTCGAGCGCCATACACACGTGCATTCATCCAATTCAACTAAATACATTACACATGCGTGTCCATCCAACTTTCTCACTACCCGGGTCAACACCCCACAAGTCCTCTCTCGCTTTCTCATGACCCGCGTAAACACACCTCAGGTCAGTCCTTCGATCAATCCGGGCTTTGTCCCGCGTCAACACGATCCAAGACCTTTCTCACGACCCGGGTCAACACCCCACAGGTCCTTTCTCACTTTCTCACGACCGGCGTAAACACGCCTCAGGTCAGCCCTCCGATCAATCTGGGCTTTGTCCCGCATCAACACGCCTCAGGACCTTTCTTACGACCCGGTTCAACACCCCACAGGTCCTTTCTCACAACTCGGGTCAACACCCTACAGGTTGGCAGCCCTCCGATCGATCCGGGCTTGTTCAAGCAAACACACATGCTACATAATTCAATCAATTTCCACTCTTTCACATAATCAAATATCACACAACCATTTCCAAACGACCACAACACAATTCGCCATTCTAACACGTCATAATATCCAAACTCCAGTCATAAGCTCACCAATCCGACGTTCAAGTCGGCCACAATCAAGCATCCATTTTCACCCACGAATACTACAACAAACTAGCCATTGAACCCAATGTAATTCAGCCACTAATTAAGCTACAATATCATTGCAATTTAGTCTACCAACGGGCCACATTCAAACATCAATAATAATCTTAACTTAGCCACTAAACCGATACTAATCAACCCCTAAACAAATCTAATAATACCCATTATACTAAGTAAGGTTTAGGGAGTCACTTACCTAAGTTTGACACGGGGAAATCCGGCAAGGGGCCCAAAATTGCCCGAGGGAACAGTGGCGGCTTGGCGCGGCACGGGCACAATGGCTGGCCACGGCTCGGCACAGTCCTCAGCCACGGCCGGGGCAACGGCCTGGGCGGACGGGCGAAGGTTGGGCAAGCTCGGCCACGGCTGGGACGGCTGCCGGGTGTGCTCGGGTGATGGGCTTGGCACTCGGCACGGGCAAGGGCAGCGGCTAGGCTCTCCGGCTACGGCCGGAACAGCGGTTGGGCGTGCAGGCAATGGGCTCGGCCACAGACGGGCGAGCTGGCAACAGTGACGGGCGACGGCGGCGGCGAGCTGGCCGAGCGTGCGGCCTGCGAGCTGGGGCGGCGGAGGACTCGGCTAGAATAGGGGCAGCAGGGGCGTCGCCGGAGCAACAGGGGAGACGGCGGTCCGGGGAAGCTGGGGTGGTGGTGGTTAGGGCAACAACGACGTGCGGCGGTCACGGGCGACGCGAACAGGGGAAGAGGAGGAGAGAGGGAGGGGGTGTCGTGGCGGAGATTGAGTGGCCGGTGGTGGTACGACGGGCCTGCAGGCGCCTGGGCGAAGCTGGGCTGGCCGGCGGACGGCAGTCGAAGTGGCACTGTGGCGTCGCAAGCTGCGGGGCGAGGTCAGACGGGTTGCTGGGTGCGACGTGAGCTCAGTGCTGCGCGCGCGGAGGAGAGGGGGGAGGATGGCTGGACAGACGGCGCGACGGCTGGCAGGGCAGCGGCGCAAGGCGGACGCCCGGCGGGCTGGGGCGAGGACGAGCGGTGGTCGAGCCGGGGCGCAGGAGCAGCGGCCGGGGGGGAGGGGGAAGGAAGAAGAAGAAGAAGAGAAGAAGAAGAAAGAAGAAAAAGAAAAGAAAGAAAAAGGAAGAGAGAGAGGGAGG